TGTGAAAAAGGAGCACAGTCATTTCACCTCAGCAGAAGTTTTTAACAAAATACTATGAAATTTAATCTATGAAAGTTACGTTTTGGATGTATTTTTCTTCCGCTGCCTAAAGTTTAGATGACTGCAACTTTACATACATTTTATTTCTAGGTTATTGATAAACAAAAAGACACCTATGCTAATATAGGTGTGGCTACCTAGCATATGAGATTTTATCATGGCTGCAATATTGGGGGCAATTGTAACAATGTGTTACAATTGCCCCCTAGCCACATGGCCCAGTGAGCACCTTATTTGTCTGTGTTGACATACTTTTCTGTTCTGTTTTTCAATGTAAAACTACATTTAAAATTATTAGTGTCACACATTATACAATGTGTTGCTTTTAAATCTTTTTTAAAAATAAAATGAATGTCATTGCCACATGATCTCTTTGAGTTATTCTGTTAATATGTCTGTCTTGTACCATTTTATTAAAGTTTGGTCACATCTTGGTTGTTAAATCCAAAAGTCCTTTTGAAGTTCCAAAAGTCTTTAATAATCCACACTGAAGGGTATCCAAACAAGGCAGGCAAACTAAACCAAAACACTGATGAGACCGGGCAAGCTGAACAAGGTTAATTAATGAAGCAGACCTGAACAGAATGACACCATCAGCTCAGTAACCATGACAACTAAGGATTGGTAGGAACTAGAACAAAGGAAAAAAGAAACTGAATAGAAACAAACTAAAAATCTATATAATTAAAATATATGTAAAGAATTAAAATGTAGTTACCACTAGAATAGTTGCCTCTGCAAAAATAGAAATAGACTTTTGCTTTTTGCTTGCATATGATGCCTAACATCTAAATGAATTTGAACCATATTAAACAAAACAAAAAAGTAACATTATTATTACAAGAGCAGTAAAGTGATTACTTTGAGGTAGGCTTTTATTTGACTTTTATTTAAATTATTTTTCAGTGGTACAATCACCCCACCAAGGGGGCCATTGTAACATTCTGACTGGCATTTAATTTAGTATTATTGTCTTGTCCGTATTAGTGAAAATATATAAATTGTATTATTAATTAGTGCACCTGTATTTGTTTCTTGTATCAAAAGATGACTAGTGTATTTCAAGTAGTTTGTGAGTTATATAGGAAAATGAAAAAAAAAAAAAAAACCTGTTACAATAGCCCCCGGTCTCCCCTACATTCTGATGAATTGGATGAATTATTTCATTTGCATGACATTAGTTTATGACAACATTGTGGCAATGTCTTGGTAACATTTCTTTTTAAAGAATCATTTCTAAAGTTCCAGAAATGCCTCAAATGCCTTCAAGAATGAAGCTAATTATTCCCATGGAGAACATTATCCTGATCTCCAGATAACTTTCTGTCATTTTGTTCGCATATATTATAACAAAACTGGATATTGTCTGGGAAATTTACAAAATTGATTAATCATTTTACTCTAGTAAATTGATGTTGTCTCAGTTTTATTACCTTTGTGGAGATACTAGCCTAGAATTGTTCATGCCTCAGTGGCACATATCTTTTTTCTTTGTGATCAGGCACAAGACAAATTACTTTTCATAAAAAAAGAATAGTGCCAGTCTTTCATTATGATTTATTCAAAGCTGTTATAAAATACTCTTTAAACACATACACGTGACCTCTTTACATCAGTATTACATTTTATAAAAGCAATAAGCCCTGTGAAGCCATGATTTACAGTGATTTTAGAAAAGGTAAGCTGGTGTGCCGTGCTTAAAGGGTTAATTCACCCAAAAATGAAAATTAGCCCATAAATTACTCACCCTCAAGTCATCCTAGGTGTATATGACTTTCTTCTTTCAGACGAATCCAGTCGGAGTTATATTAAAAATGGTCTTTGATCTTTCAAGCTGTTTCATGGCAATCAGTGGGTGTTGCATGCATCCGTCCAAAAGAAGTGAAATAAAAAGCACCCATCCATAAAAAAAGTGTCTCCGACTCCGGGGGGTGAACAAAGGCCATCTGTAGCGAACCGATGCGTTTTTGTTAGAAAAATATTCATATTCAAAATGTAATAATCACTTTAATGTAGCTTGCGCTCACTGTTGTACCCGGAAGCAGTTCCGGGCGGAGGATGTATGAGGTCGGCTTTGTGCATGCGCCACTCAGAAGTGACGAACGCGGAAGCGCAGGGGAGAGATCAAAACAAAACAACGGTCACTAATTTGAAGTACAAAATGAGGATTTGTAAAGAAGAATGTTGGAGGATTTCAATATAAGCCAAGAGGAGACTGGTTTTCCTTTGCTAAAGTAAGGAAACTTTGCTTCCTTTGCTCCTGTTAACAAACGTTGGTTTTCACGAGACTCACTGGTGCATGCGCAACGCTGAACTCATATGTCATCAGCCCGGAGCTGCTTCCGTGTAGGACTATTGGCGCAAGCTACATGAAAGTGATTATTACGTTTTGAATATGGATATTTTTCTTACAAAAACGCATCGATTCACTACAGAAGGCCTTTGTTCACCCCCCGGAGCTGTGTGAGACACTTTTTTTTATGGCTGGACGCTTTTTATTTAACTTCTTTTGCAGCCGCTGAGTGGCATTAAACAGCTTGAAATATCAAAGACAATTTTTAATATAACTCCGACTAGATTCGTCTGAAAGAAGAAAGTCATATACGCCTAGGAAGACTTGAGGGTGAGTAATTTATGGGCTAATTTTTATTTTTGGGTGAACTAACCCTTTAACAAAGCCTCTTAACTGTTTTAAAATCACTATAAACCACAACATTTTGATGCTTAATGCTTTATTAAATTGTTAATACATATACCTTGCAAGGTTCAAAGCATGCACAGATTTGTTGTAATTGCCATAAATCTCCTCTATAAATCGACTTTTATTTATGGTTTTTGCACATTTAATGTTAAATGTAATATTAGATGTGTAGTGTTTCAGATGTGTATTAGTGTTTTAGATGTGTGTACTTTTTTTTTAATGGTTTTTAGTGATAAAATTCCCTGTTTGGTTATTTTGCACATGAACAGTGTCTCATGATGTGGCTTCAGGTCAATACTGAGATACATTTTTATATTTAAAAAAAAAATTGGTTGTAGTTACTATAACATCACCACAACAAATATGGGAATAACATATGTCATTGAGACGTTATTTAATGCGTCACTGCAACAAATACGGTATGGTCTGGTTACATCTAACAAAGTGTAACTGCACAGAGCACAGAGTCTGTGCTGCTATATTTAAGGCACATACTGAATCTTCAGTTGTACCTTCAAGTGCGACCCTACGGGATCAACGAACATCAATATTTCTCCAAATTGCAACTGCAAAATTACTCAAGCATCAATCAAACGATGTAAACCATATTTCTTTATTAAAGATTAAGAAACTCCAAGCAGCATATTCATAAATAAAATAGAGTCTCCCTTAGATGTAATGTTACAGACTGTGATACTGTTATATTTCATGGAATATTGGATATTTTTCTCTAAAAATCAAAGGGGCACAAGTGTAAGGCAGTGAAGACACTTAACCCTACAAATTACACATCCTTACCACCACTGTCGGCATCTCAAAGCCACGGGTTGTGTTACACAGTGTAATATATCACTTTGGTTCACATTAGTAACTATTTGGACTTGTACAAAATATACAGGATACAACCTTGATTTATGACTGACAAGCATATGCAGGGTGAAATCTTCTTGAAAACTGGTCTATGTGCACACTGACAAATGTCCTTCTCTTTATGAGTTGACGAATGGAAAATTTCAGGGTGTCTGTGGAAACCAACAGGACAATATGCACAAGTAGCTGTAAATGGAGTGAGTGTATAAGGTTGTTCTGGTTTAGGTCACAAACATAATATGGCTGAGATTCATAATTGGTCCGAACCTCCTGAAAAACGATTAAAAACAGCATGTAAAAAGAAATGTAAAAGTTTAATTGTACAGTAAAAATTAATATGTGTGTTTGGACTATTTAGAATTGCCTGCAAGAGATGTTTGTCCAGTTGTGGGCGTACCAACATGGCTTCATTTACTCCAATCACATATTCCCCTTGTTTATATAAATTATGAAAATCATTTCATATACAAGTTGTTGTTGTTGTTGTTTTTTTGTCTATATACTCTGTGTAAATGTTGTACAGTTGTACAAAAAATGGTTTTGGCAGAATATCAGAAAAGCAATGATAATACAACTCTTTCACAAATGACAGCATGAACTGGTGTAAAATGTCCTTGATGTACGACAAATTAAGCTGTTCTGTTATGTTTCAGGAATAAAATTGTTCTCTCTGGGCTGGTTGTGCTCACGGGCTGATAGTTTCAAAACTAAAAAATAAGCTTTTTTTTAGTTCAGTGCTGCTGCCATGATTGCAAGGATTTAGCTTGTCCGAGACAATATTTCCGCACAAGTCACTGCTATACTATTTTGAATGATTAGCTTTTGCTTGTTCAGTAAACCCATAAACAACATCAACTCAATGCAAGCACATAAATCTATATCAGTAATCCACAACTAAAATCTGAAAAGGAAGCAAAATTAAAATGGCCTCACTGTTTGCAGGTTGAAGAAGATTTATGACTGTAAAAGGGGTGCATAATTATCAGCGCTCAGCTTTTGGGTTCCTACGGCCGTGTATGATCATCTAGTAACAAAACGTGGAGAGACATCTTTTATTTCGGCACTTAGAAAACAATCACAATGAATAAGTCTTTACCCATAGAGAACAAAATTCACAAAGCCATTCAAACAGTCATTATTTTTGTCCTTTTTTGTTGTTCATTTGTTTTTGTAACTCAACTTCAAAAATTGAGAATATTCAAAATACACTTTTACTTACTTTGCTCTTTCAGTATTTACAAATATGTACAAGAAAAAATTATTTCTCATGTTTTCATTTTTTTCATAATAAAAATCTCTACATACTCCCAAACCCACCCCCCCCCTCCTCTTTTTACACTGCCACAGTTTCCAAAGCTCCAACAGCAGCTCAGTTTTCTTCCTTTGACAAGCAAGTGTGAGGCAGCACATGGTCTGACTGGTAGGACATTGGCATGGGCGTCTTGGCGGGACTCTGTCGGAACAGACCCCCGTTGGGAGCCCTGTGTTTGCATTGGACGGAGGGCATGGTGGAGCTGCTGAGAGGAAGGGGCAGGGTGCTGCCAGGACCCTGGGCCAGCGTCCGGCCCACCCCATGAGCTTGCTCCGGGAGGAAGGTGCTCACAGACAGGCCCGTGCCTGGGTAGTCTCGCACAGCCTCCCGCTGCTGGCTGGGCAGCATGCTGCCGATGTCCAGGGCAGAGATCTCGATAGATGGTGCGGGGATCTGCTTGTGTGCCATGTCCTCGTCCATAAGACTGTTCATACGCCGATGCACCTGTTCCAGGTTCACCTCCTTGTCCTAGAGAGGGTGAGAGAAGAAAGGAGGGACAGAGAGGCTGAGATCTGCTGGTTCCAGGATGGGATTTTTGCTTTTAAGCTCCATGCAAGTAAGGCTTATTTGAGTTACTGCAGGGTGTGCTGCGAATTTACTAAAAATACCCAATTGGAAAGTTCAGATAGTAGAATAGTGTTTGAAAGAAAAGTTTTATAGAATGTGCACCTTGAAATCAAATTTGGCCAGTGGGCATTTAAAATAATGATGCTTGAGTGACACTAAACCTGCCTTTACAGTTAACATCACCAACAACATTAGTGCTGGAGCCAACCTGCATTTCATAAAAGACATTAACAATAAAACGTACAGAAATTTGTATGATTGCAGTTAATTCTCAGTTAAAACACAGCATGCATTTTAAAACCGCGTACTTGCAAAATATTTGGGTAAAAAATTTAGTATGTAAAAGTGTTTTCAAAGTTTGTTTATCATTTTTATGTTTTTTTTTGCTTTAAAACAAACAAACAAACAAACAAAAAACAAAAAAACAGTGCAATTCGAATCGCAATGCAAGTATGTGCTGCATTCTGTGGTCAAATAGCTTTGCTTACGATGTATAATATAATGTGAATTGTAAAGTTTTTTTTTTTTTGTAACCATAATTATTCACTTGTACCACAATGCAAAACATAAAGATGTAAAATCATTGCATTACAGAAATAAAAACTATGAGGAAATTAAGGCCAGCTGAAAGCTAACATTGCTTCCACAAAATCAAGTCTGAGTTTTCTCTTCGTCTTCTCTTTGTCTTTTTTTAGCATACTTTCTGAAGCGTAAATAAATATTGTTTTAGGCCAGAGTTTAAATTTTTAGTTTACATTTAAAATTTTATTTAGTTTTAAACCTAGTTAGAATGTACTTATATGGATTTTAAAATCTACAATCAATGTTATGATGCTATATTTGGGTAAAAAAGGAGCACACATGTTGCCTTTGGACAGTTGTGTCACTCACAGATCCAGATTGTATCTATATTACACTGATATTATTATTATTAGTAGTAGTAGTAGTAGTAGTAAAATTAATGATTTTTATTATTTTTTTTGCAATGAATTATTCATAATTTAATGTGCCTCTTAGAATGAATTATTCTTTATAAATAATCATGGCATACATTTTAGCCAGCCATATATATATGTTTTAAATATATGTATGTGTGTGTGATAAGTGTTGTATATGTGAATCACCACGAAAGTCTGAATTAATTGCCCCAAGGGGATTAATAAAGCTCTAAACTAAAAAAAACGAAACTATATATATGTATGTGTGTGTGTGTGTGTGTGTGTGTGTGTGTGTGTGTGTGTGTGTGTGTGTGTGTGTG